TTTTTCCACGAATTTTCTATGTTCTTCGTACTAACAAATTGGAAATTGAATATTATACTTTTTCATGTTATTTAAAGTCCATTTATTAATTTTTTAATTACCGTATTTTTAACTTCTGCATATTTTAATTGTTGCGATTCAATTTTTTCTTTGATAACTTGTATATCCATGTCCAATTGTTCTATTTCAGTGTCGTACCGTTCCATCCACTCCAGGATCTTGTCTTCATACTCCTAGAGGCACATGTAAGTCAACTTTTGTAATAATTATGTTTAGATATAATTTTATCAGTTGTAAGAACATTATTATTATTAATGTATTATTTATTTAAATGCTTTCGATGATAAATGTTGGAAGGAACTGTTAAAAAATAATATTAAATTTTGGTATTCAACGCCTACATAATTAATACCTCCTGTGTCTGAGAAATGTAGGTTTCTATTTCCTTATTGATTCGTTTTTCCCGTTCAATTTCCGTGTTTAAAGTTTTTATTTTGTTGAGATAATTTTCCTCGGTCGTGTCAATGATGAAATTGTTTAGTTCAGTTCGTGAATTTTCCCATTTCGACACGTAGCGCATTTTTACTCCATTTTCGAAAATGGTATTTTCGATCTCATCTTTGATTTTGCCGATTTCTTCTGATTTTTCTTGAATTTCTCGTTCTGCCTCACTTTTTTCTATGTCAAATGCTTTTTGCAAATTCTCGAGCTTTTCTCTATTCTCTCTCGCAGATTCTAGGAAGTTCTTTTCTTGGACTCGCTTCGTTTGGTATTCGTTTATTTTATCGACGAGGCAATCGAAATTGTTTAAAGTAGCCAAGTTATTGATCGTTTGTTCCAAAATATCCCTGACCAAATGGACATCTTTCTGGAATTTGAGTAGTTTTTGGTACTGAAGGGCTTCTTCAGCTGGCGCTAGTATTTCTGGATCGAAAATGTTACCACTTCCGATGTGCCTTTTCAACTCTTCCAGTGTTTCATCTATCTTTCCTTCCTCATTTTTCTTCCGGATTCTCGGTAGTCCTGCCATGTTACTGATGGTTCCTAATTGATCGACGGTGTCTTCCAGGACGCAAGCAAAAGCCACTGCCAGAATTTGGGGTAAATTCGTGTCCTCCTTGTCTACAGTTTCTTGTAGCTGATCGTCAGAAACGTCCAATGTCGTTGATTCATCCTGGACTTGAATGTCCACAATAAATGGTTCGTCATCATCGTCCTCATCGTCATCGAATTCAATTTCAAGACCCCGTCTACCATACATATCGGCGATATTTTCAAATTATTAAAAAAAATAACAAAAAAAA